CAGCAGAATAAGAAATAGACAAAATGTTAAGCACGAGGTCGTTGCAATTATAGCTAGTGTTTCTGTACGAAAGCAAACTAGCAAGAGTAACTTGATTTTGAGATTTTTAAAGTAACTTGAAATATTGAGAGAAAAGATCGATAGAACTAGCTGAGAGACAGGCAAGACGAAGGACGCGGATGGTGTGGTGGTGAAGGGCGCTGCTCCTCGGTAAGGACAACAGCGAGGGTTCGTTCCCCACCTCATACACCTGCGGTGCGGAGTTTTGCAAATATCTCAGCATTTCATACGAGTTATATTTCGCAACATACCCTGCCATTAAAAAGGAAAAAGGCAGTAAATAAAAGGGTTAAGATTGTGATTATAACTTGAGATAACTCATCAGTTTACGATCTACAAAGTCGACTTGACCCTTGACACTATTAAAATTTTATTCAGCATTTGACCGTCCCTCATCCTCTAAAAATCTCCCGATCAATGCTGTATTCGGCTGTTGAGGTAATGCGACATATTGCTGAGTAGGAGAAAAGAAGCCGCAGCTTTATCGTTTTTAATAAAGGCATTCCGTTCCGCTTGATCCATTTTTCTTTAACTTTTATTTTGCTGGACTGACCATGATTTTTCACGATTTTAGCGACTTATATCCATGACAGCTGTGAGGAAAAATTTATGACTTTGCTAACCCAACAGCGTGTGGATACCCGTGAATAGATTAAACTTGAAAATCTGCTAGAAGCCGACGCATATAAACAAGGTCGGAGTTGTGATCATCGCAAAAACAGTAATGAATTTTGTAACGAGGTTTGCAAAGAATGTTCGTTCCCCACTGCATACACCTGTGGTCCGAAGTTTTACAAATATTTCAGCATTTCATACGAGTTATATTTCGCAACATACCCTGCCATTAAGAAGGAAAAAGGCAGTAAATAAAAGGGTTGAGATTGTGATTAAGCAAAATGTTCGCAGTGCATTGCGAACGATGAATGATGAGAGGAAAACGAATCGAATGCAAGAAGTATTGAGGTTCGAATAGTAGATATGATGGCGGATCATCTAAAAGGATAAAAAAAATGACAATAATATAATACAAGCAATGCACGCTGAACAAACTGAGGAGATATTGGTTATTCACGCCGATGTTGAATGGTGGTCGGTTTTGAAAAGTAGGAAACAGCAGACATTTCAACACTATGTTCTGTCGCACATAGTTTTTCATGTTCTGAACCCATAGAATATGGTGGGTCAGACGTAGTTTCGTAGCCCTACTCGTCGTCTCTCAAACTCTTCAGCGTTCTTTGTGCGAAATGTGGTCTCAATATCGTTACGCAGCAGAATTCGTTAGAATAGATCGTTTGCAGACGCTCGAATAATTGGCGCATTTCTTCGATTTCTTGACAATACTAATCATCTTTGATGGTTTGGCCGAAACTTGAGACGTTGTTCTGAATGATTTCACATGTAGTCAATCTACCAAAAACTCGACATGATCATCTCCCGCTGCAAATTCGGCTTCGGAAAACGTGTAGCATCATCTTCTCAATCTTGTCACTCCGCTGAACGTCAAGAAGCGATCAAGCAGTTGACGTTTTCATTGCCCAGAAGAACATCAGAACAAACCCTACTAAGGTCTTCTCTAAGCGTCTTCAGAGAAATCGTCGCTTCAGGACGTTCAGAGTTCCTTCTGTCAGAGTATGTGAACTTCTATTTTATTGGAAAAGTACTAACGATTTTTGTTTTGCTAAGTTAAGTTTGAGTCCCGTCCGATAATGATTTAATATTCACGGTAAAAAACTGGGTTCCCTTTGCCAATCTTCTCTTTCCGAACAATATGTGCTATCAATAGTTTTTTGGTTACTTTCACAAAGTTTTGTACTCTGCCCCGTTACGAAGTGCACACGTTTTTCAGTTTTGTCTTCTCGTTAGAGCTCGTTATGAAATTTCGAAAAGCCATCTTGCTTGCTTTCTATTTCTGAAACTTACCTTTATTCGCTAGATTCATTTCATCTTTGTTTTTCTCAGCTTTAGTCTTTCTCAACCCACTAAATGAAATGTGTGAAAATTTTTAACGTCCAATAGAATCGCATGAACTCACGAAGGAGTTAAACGTTGCCAATCAAAAATGAAGCAGAGCTCCTGTTAAAGTGACAGCGGTCTTTTTCCCATAACCGACTTCCTTTTAACTTCGCCACTGATTGATAGTTCGATGTTTTTCTTCAATAAGCAGACACGAGGTTGTTATTATAGAATTTATTAGGATACAATAGTTGACGTTTCGACGGTTTCGCCTTCTTCAGAACCTGGAAAGGTCGACTTGAGGTGGGATCTACCCAGCCACATACTTATAACCCCAGCAGATAAAACTTACCCAATAAATTTGTATTCGCATAAGAAACAGCTTCATTTAAACACCTACCGTTTATTTGTTGTAAGTATTTAAGTTAGTTGATCGACAGCGGCCGCACAGAGTAATACATGGGCGATAACTGTGTCTGTGTCTGATAACTTTGATAACTGTGTATTCTTACTGCTTGGCTTTCGTTCGATACCATTTTGTGTTGCAGCCGTTTACCTCTCCTCTCATCCCTCACACACTAAAAGGACTCTTATAGGAAATATGTTTCGAACGGCTGCCAGCGTGTGCACAGGTAGAGATCAGAGGGAAGTATCCTCGAAACTGGCGCGCCAAATAGCCATTTCAGATGGTTACGAAACTGTAGCTTCTCGGCATAGGCATCGAGGAAAACGCACGCCCCAGAGCGATAGTTCTAGCGGAAACAAGGCTCCGTTCCTCTTGCTCTTTATTTCAAACGAAATAAGTGCAGCTATAAAACGTTGCTTTATAGGGGCGGGTCTAGCGAATTCCGTAAGAATGATAGAAATACCATCCGGCACTCAAAGACGCCAGCTAGTTCGCAACCGCCTATATGACCTCTATGTATAACGAAAAACTGCATAATTTGCTTTAACGATAGAGACGGTGATTGCATGAGTTCGGGTACAGTCTGTCTGATCTCGTGTAAAACGTGCAGGGACGAATACGTTGGCGAAACGGGTAGACCGCTCTGCGTCCGCATAAAAGAACACCTGGTCGGTAAATCTAAATTAAAACCAAACACTCCACTAGGCGCGCACAGGATGCAGGAACACAACGGAGAAGATTTTGAAGTAGGAGTCACTATCCTCACGCGGGAATCCAAAACACCAGCGCATAAAACTCCTGAAGCGTTTTGGATCAATTCCAAAAATTCAAAAGTGAACCGCAAGGAGGAGTGTCTTGTCATCACGCGTGACCTGGCGCCATACCTCAGGCTGATCCACTGACCTAACACAGACACAGTTATCGCCCATGTATTGTGCGGCTGCTATCCAACAACTAACTTAAATACTTACAACAAATAAACGGTAGGTGTTTAAATGAAGCTGTTTCTTATGCGAATACAAATTTATATGTTAAGTTTTATCTGCTAGGGTTATGAAAGTATTTGGCTGAATAGATCGCATCTCAATTTGACCTTTCCAGGCTCTGAAGAAGGCGAAACCGCCGAAACGTCGGCTATTGTATCCTAATAAATTCTATAATAACAACCTCGTATCTGCTTATTGGAGAAAAACATCGAGCCCTCTTTTTGTTTTGACAGTGTTCTTCAATAAAGCGATAACTTGGTAGATATCATATTAAAAATATCTTGTTCGTAGCTCTAGTTATTTTCCTGTTCATAGAATCAATTCGCTTCCAGTCGTTGGATTCTGTGTCAAGGGGTCTATTTTTCTGGAAGTGACGACGTCTCCTCCCTGTTTTCCCTCTTTCTTATGAGTTTCCTTGATGCGAGGTAGGACATCAGGCCAATACCACTCTTGCTATATTATCTCCCTATGAGTGACGACCTCTGTGTCAACACTAGTAATTGTACCGTCTTGTTCATAGTTCTTCTTCGTCATTTTTTAGGACTAGAATACCTGTATAACTTCCTCTGGGATAGAAAAGTGACCGATACATTGATTATATGGCTACAATTCAGGCACGTCCACTAGAATGTAGTGTTATTTAGTAGTTGAAGAGTTTTTACGTTCGCTTCAGAAAATACGCCTATAGAGTTCTGTCCTAGTTTATAGCTAATCTAAGCAATTATTCTTATTCCCAATTGGAACCTCATTTTTACCTCTATTGGTTTAAATTGAAACAAATACATGACTGAGTTTCCCGCTGCTAATTCATGGGCAGAGCGAGTATAGCACAGTGCATAGGGACGCCCTGTTGTACACGTAGTTTCTTTGGTGCGATCCTCAACCCAGTCACAGCAAATCCTTTATTCTTCTAGGGTTGGCAAGGTGGAACCACAGTTGTCTGGGAGGATAGCAGCACTGATATGATACATTGATAGGTTATCAAAAGCAATTAAATGTACCAAATATAAGCCTTCGATGCTCAAAGTGTACATAGCACATCCGTGAGGACGTTATCAACTCTAAACGCCTTATCTTTTTAGTCTATGTATTTTTCCCCATTGATCAACTAGCAGGAAATTGTTACAGTCTTTTTCTTTTAAAGCCGGACTGCTGTTAAAGATAACAACCTTGTTAGTTTATTAATAAAGGGACCCACACTGTTGTAGATATTTAGATTTGCCATGATTAGTCGCTTATGCAGAGGTGTGTTTATCAATTAATAAGTGTTTTGTCACTTGCAATCATCGGTGAAGATATTTGACACATGGCTCAGGGTCACCATGCTACGGTTTCCGCAGGTCTACTGCATCATGGCAGTGTATGGCACATCCAGTAAGAAGCTGTGGTCACAAATCTACCGTTATCTGTATTATTTCAGCACACACATAGTTATGACCATTGTAATAGTTCTGGTTTTCATCTCAGCGATTTGCTTAGTCGCTGACATAGCTTTTATCATATTTGAATTTTAATAAGTAACATTTCCTTTTGGTTTCTTTAAAAAATATCCGGATCTGTGTTGTATTTCCAGAAATTGTTGGTTTACTGTCGAAATGACTGTGGATGACCAGCTCCCGCGTTCTGTGAAGCAAGAAGCCGTTCGTGTGGTTGTTAGATGTCGACCTCTTTCTAATGTGGAGATCGGACAAGGTCATCAGAGGTGATGAACTACTGCTGAAAATCTTCTGTTAATTCGTTCTGCGCATAATATTTGCTTACGTTAATGTAATAGTGAGTATTTGTTAGTAGCTGTGTTACTGCATTAACTAGAACTACGATTTGTAATGTAATATTCTTTTTGTTCTGAGTACTTTAAACATTAATATACGGGTAAGTACTGAGTTTTCCTAGAAGTTTACCTTTCATATGTTTATAGCACTTTAAGGGAAACTTGTGAAGCACACCATCTATAATTTTAGCATCATTTCCATGTATCCGGATCGTGGGCTCGTTGAATTGCGAAATCCTAGGGATCTTGAAGAACCGTCGAAGGATTTCACGTTCGACGCGATTTACAATGAAAGGTTATTGAGAGTTTCTTTAAGTCGCAGATAATTTGCTTTTTAACTTCAGTTCATTGACTGATAGTCAAAACTTCTGAGTTCGCTTGAGATGGGAAAAAATGGTAAAAAATGACGCAAGTACTAAGTGCTGTTGGCTTGATAAATTTCAAAAAGTGAGAAGCCCGTGTGCTGATTTCACCACAAGGTTTCGCCAAGGTTTTGTGATTCTCTCAAAATCTCTATTTAAGCTTAATTCTTTCTTCATTTTTTCGGCATTGGGTTGTATTTACCACGGGGTTTCTTCATCTTTCCACCGTTTGATTGCATGTATTTCAGCTCTAAGCAAATGGATCTTTATGATGAGACGTTTCGAGATCTAGTCGATTCTGTTTTAAATGGCTTTAATGGCACCATATTTGCCTATGGTCAAACGGGTACGGGTAAAACATACACTATGGAAGGTGGGCGTGAAGCTTTTCTTTGCTAATAAACATAATAAAATAAAAATTGACATCTAATGATTGACCTCTATTTATGACGATAGTTTGGAAGATAAACGTGGCCCTAAAATAAATAAGCATTTTTCGTATTGTTCAGAAACGATGTTCTACTATGTGCAGTTGTTTTTGACACGTGTACTATTACTTGGATGCTTTGATGGCCCATTCTCACTGGTTGTGCAGACCCTAGCATAATCTGCATTTTTCGGAGTTTTGCTGGTTTAGCCGCTGTGTTTCCCTGCAGTCTCGAGGTCAGCCCGGCCAGAGTCTACACCATATCGTCAACACCACAGGTAGTCGCCGTCCTTTTGGATCAGAGCGAGATTTGCCACCATGGGATTAGTTTGATGCCAGGACAGTGGTGGGTACTGGCATTGGTTCACTCTTAACTGGGCTTCCTGATAGAAACACCGAACTCCTCAGCCTAGGAGGCCCTGATGGAAGGATGAATCCTTCCGTTGTACATCGCAGCCCGACACCCGTGAACACCTCCCAGCCATGATGACTGGTGGTAATCAGTCGGGAGATAGCATTACCTCTAATTTTTTGCCTTGCGCGGTGCGCATTGAAGATTTCGTTCGAAAAAGTTTGTGTATTCTTAGGCATAAAGAATAGTGATCATGATCCACTTATGACGTAATGTAGCTTATAGATTGAATGAAAAAGGTATAGTGAGTAAGCACTTAAAGGGAAAAGGAACGATGGAAAAGGATATGCATTTAAATTAAGCGTATAGTCGCCACTGCAGTCCCATATCTACATCGCTGCGGATGCATATGGTCACTTAAGTGATCAATTGTGTTCTGTGTTTAGGAGTTCCATCGATACCTGACGAACGAGGTGTTATCTACAATTGTTTCGAGCACATTTTTCAACATATAGCCCGATCTAGAAATCAACAGTACCTTGTGCGAGCCAGTTATTTGGAGATATACCAGGTAAATTGGACATGGACGAATTTCATTGCTTCACACCCTTTTAGAGAAACCTCGCTTACTAGGTGAAGTGAGCAGGTTTTCTTCGAAGTTATTTGCCAAATATCACATATCTTCACAGAAACAATTTAGCTCAATTGTTTAAATGGAAATCTGGGTTGTTCCTTTTTTAATCGAGGCTTAAAGAGTCCTAGTCACCATCGAATAAATTTCCTTTGTTGTAAAACATGGCAAATAGAACAGTAATGGACAACAAATAACAACAAATAAAACAACAATAACAGAATAACATGGCAATAATAATAAAACAACAAACAGCTGATCAATCTCTGAGGGATGCGCCAAGCATTCGACTTCATTAAGCATCTATTTATTTATGTGATCTTATAAACTGATCTTCTTAAGCTGACGCGAGGTTGGTACAGATCTTCGTTGTCGTTGTCGTAGTCGTTGTTTTTGATGTTATTGATCGATGGCTGACAACGACAACGAAGATCTGTACCAACCTCGCGTCAGCTTAAGAAGATCAGTTTATAAGATCACATAAATAAATATATCAACTATTTATGCCGAGGTTCATAGAAAGTCGGTCTTTCGAGTTTTCATTAAGCATCGTTTAGAGGTGATTGAATGCATATCTGGCCTTTACAATGACTCGCGGTGGCCTACCGATGTATCGAGTCAGTGCTGCTATCCTCCCAAACAAGTCTGGCACCAATTTGCCGACCCGGGAGGAACGGAAAGCTTGGTGGGCCACGGGCGCGGGGACCGATTCCGCGCGTGCTTTGCAGGGCGCCTCTGACCACTGCGCCCAACGCTTCTTTGGTTACTAAGATATAATCAATGTTTTTTGTCCAAAACGTTTTAATCGCTTAAACGGTTCTAATTAGATTTTTTTCTAGTTTTTTAGCAATTGAGAATCTATATGAGCCTATACACCTTTTATATGCACATATATTTTACGTGAAAGAAACCCTTACCGAGGGATCACGCGTTATCCACCACTTCAACCGAGGTCCTTGCTTTGCTTTAATAATGTAATAAAGATAATGCTATCAATGATAATAATTTTCAATAGTAAATAATAATAACAGTGTTTACTTTTTATTTTCTGCCTTCTATCCACAAGATTGCTGAGATATTTGCAGAACTCTGGACCGCAGGTGTCTGCGGTGGGGAAGGAACGCGCTATTGTCCTTTCCTGGGAGTAACGCGTTCACCACCCGCATGGTGTTTTATAAAATGTTAATATTATATATCATTTTGCTTTTATTATTATTTTTCTTCGAAATCACTCCTTTGTTTTTTAGTGACAGCGCGGTATCGCGAAGCTCTTAAGTTATGAAGATAAAGAATTATGACAAAGCTTTTAGGAGGAACTCCGAGATCTCCTCAGTAAGGACGATCGCGTTAAATTAGAGCTAAAAGAAAAGCCAGATATCGGGGTCTACGTGAAGGATTTAACCACATTCGTCACTAAGTCAGTGGAGGAAATCCAACGGGTTATGGCAGTTGGAAACGCAAATCGATCTGTTGGGTACAGTTTTAGGTTTTATTTCTTTATTAATTAGATATTAGATAATCATCGTATAGGTCACTGTCATGCATTTTTAAAAATATGGCTGTTGCCGGCTTGTATTAATCTGAACCAAATTTTGTTTTTGTTTATTCATGGCTATGTTTCCAATAGTTCGGCGGCAGTTATTTGCTAAACTTCAATGAGAATCTGATCTTAGTATTTTTATATAGACAGGACAGGAGGTGGACGACGCTTTGCAAAAATTCGAAGAAAATCCTTAAAACTTTACAATTTTTGGATCAATGTTGTCTACTTCTTCATGTAATAAAATATATTTCTCGAAGAATCTAAGGCTAAATAAAGAACGTTCTTCTTCCAGACGAACCAATATGAACGAGCATTCGAGTCGATCGCACGCGATTTTCATAATCACAGTCGAATGCTGTGAGGTGGGTCCTGACGGGCAAAATCACATACGGTCAGTCTCTTCTCTCTTTAAAATTTACTGAGATGTTTTCCGTTCGTCTCTAAAGTTTTATCACTTCGTCTAAGCATATAGATATGTTTGTTTTGATAATTTGATGAGCCCTAAATTACTTCGTAGAAAAACCTTTAGATTATTCATTTATATTCTGGAGAGTGGTTCTACTCTATATTACTTTCTGTTCTAAAGCCTTCTTGAATTCGCTTCTTGAAGGTCCGTAACTTTGAATGATAAACTACTACTTAAAGTTCTTGCAATTGCCAGGATGTTTTTCTGGTCTGCACAATGAGATTGATTTTTTCCATTAGTACTTTTGTCCTTACAGAGTTTTCCAGCTTGTTTAAAGAATTTCTCGGTACATTGGTGCTCAACTAATACAAATGAGGAGTGGATTAAATACTAATTTAAATAATTTGACCTAGTCCAAATGAAATGAATGACTTTTATTCTATGAGAGGTAATTCGAATTCGATAAATAACTTGGACATGTTTGTATTTTTTAGTGTTGGTCGCCTCAATCTAGTTGACTTAGCCGGTAGTGAGAGGCAGGCGAAAACTGGCGCCACTGGCCAGAGATTTAAGGTTATTGAATATATTAGCGCCGTTTATTATTTGAAACTTCTAAAATGTTTCTTGCACAAGAGGAATTTTTTTCAGGAAGCAACAAAAATCAACTTGTCGCTTTCGGCTCTTGGCAATGTCATCTCCGCTTTGGTTGACGGTAGAAGTACACATATACCATATCGTGACAGTAAATTAACGCGGCTGCTTCAAGGTATAATTTCGAGTTTTTCACTTTGTCTATCATTATTCTTCTCGACTTAATTCTAAAAGCTTTGTTTTGCAACTAAGAATTTTCCCGTCTTCTTCCACTTTTATCACTCTGCTTCACTCAGAATATTTTGAAGCACCAGTTTTAATTTGACTTAGCGTTACGGAAACATTTCTTGTGACTTCGGAGTTTCTATATCGTATTTAATAGTACATACTCTGTAGAATTGCTCAAGAGGCAAATGATAACGTTCTTTCTCGGCTATTAAGGATTGGTGTTAAACTTTCAGATTCACTTGGAGGAAACTCGAAAACCGTAATGGTGGCTTGCATTGGTCCTGCTTCTTATAACTACGAAGAAACGCTTGGCAAGTTTAATTTTGTTTTCGTACCGTTTCTCTCTGTAATAGTACATTTCCAAAGAAGAAATATTTGGCTTTGTTAAAGTTAGGGACAGTTAAACGGATCATATCGAAATTCCTATGCTTTTACAGGTACGTTACGGTATGCGAATCGAGCTAAGAACATAAAGAATAAGCCGAAAATTAACGAGGATCCTAAAGATGCGATGTTGCGGGAGTTCCAGGTTGGCTTCTATTTCTGAGAATCTTAGAAATAGCTAAACTTGCTTGCTTAAAGTTGTGTGCTTACCATGTTTAGGAATCTCAACAAAATATGGTCCAGATCCCGTTTAATTCATATACTAGAGAAAAAAATGTTTCTTCGCCACTTCTTTACTTTCTCACTTCCTATGGATTATTGCTGAAATATAATTCTTAGACCATTTTCCATAGTTTCACTATTTCATCGGTCTTTCGAACATGTTTGTATTTGAAATCAGAGTTCCGATAAGCATTAAGTCTGATTCACTTTCTTATTGTGAACACAGTTCTTCTGAAAAACGATGAACTTCAGTTCTGTTCGAATACTGTTCTCGAATTTTTTTTCCCAATAAAACACATACCTATCATTTTCTAAATATACGACCGTGTCCTGCGCAAGTTCTCCTCTGAAAGAAAAGTCAGAAAAGGGGTGCTAGGTACATAACTGGACGTTGTGGTTACATTGTGTTCGGCTTGACATCAGCCATACAATTTTGGTGAAAACTCTTGTCGTTTTTACTACTGAGATCGTTCTTTTAAGGAGATGAAAGATGAAGCTTTCAGCATTGATCAATCCCTGGGGAATACTCCATGCATTTGACTGAATCAATCATCATTAGAGGTTATTGAATGCATGTGTAGCCTATACAATGACTTCGGTGGTCTGCCGATGTATCAATCAGTGCTGCTATGCTTCCAAACAAGTCTCGTATCAATTTGTAAACCTAGCTAGGAAGGCTTGGTGAGCACGGGGCACGGGATCGAACCAACGACCAGGTGTACTTTGTAGGGCAGTGCGTTACGTGAGCCCTAGCGTTTAGTTAAGGTATACATGTGAGATTTACCATAATGAATTTCTCAATAGTAGTTAGTAATAAGTGCAAGTGTAAGTCTTTTTCACAAATTCATCGATCACCTTCAGGATGAGATATTGCGACTTCGTGCGCTGTTGGAGAAGCGTTCGAAGAGGAAAGGCCGGATAGGTGAATGTGAATATCAATTTTCCTATCTTGTTACTATCTACTATTCATTAGTATAACTTTTTATTTACTACCTATCATTTTTAATGAAAGGGCTTTATGAGAAATACAACTACAATGATGCTGAGATATTTGTAAAACCGTGACGTTGCCATCAGTACCCGTCTACGGGAATGATTTGTGAAGTATAAATTGGAGTTGAACAGAGTTAAGCTGAAGCTGCAGTCGGGTTAAAAAATGGCAAAAAGAAACATAGGGCAAGGGCTTCAGTGGGGCAGGGGGCAGCGGGTGGCACGTGAGCCCCAGGAAAGGGCAATCGCGAGTTCGGGTCTGGCTTGGCTTCTGAGTTTTGCAAATGTTTCAGCATCATTATGGTTGTATTCACTAGTAGTTTTTCAATATAATGTAGTTTTCATTTTGCCTTACATTCCTAATTGAAATTGCGTTCGGAGCCCACCTGAGGTTCTGAGTTTTGCTCATATCTCAGCATCTTTGTGGTTCTACTCCTAGGTGAATTTAAGTTGAAGGTTGCAATGAGGAACGCGGTGACGAATATTTTAACGAGCAACAGCGGAAGATTGCTGCTGATCGCGAGAATGTGTTACGGGACAACACACTTATTTTGGAGGTGAGGATTATGGTCGATTTCTTTCCTTAAAAAATAATTCGAAACCCTGAGCTGCAATAAACGTTGCATATAATAATGAACAGAAATCGTCGAAACGTCAGCCATCGTAATTCAAGAAGGAGTAATAACAACCTTGGTTAGCTCAACAAGAATAGTTCGTGAAGTACATAAAGACTTATAAATTGTATATATGCATGTATACATATATATATATTTATATATAGTACCCAGAGAGGACACAGAATACGTTGTGGGTAGTGATGCCATGCGAAGCACTCTAGTTCGAATCCATTGTAAGCAAAACAAACACCCATCCCTCTGGATTAACAGGCTCTGCTGAGAAAAGTCCCGATTCAAAGTGCCCGACGACTACTTGTAGTGAAGGCTTAAGAGCGCTGTTGTAAAGCTCTCACTATATTCTAGAGAGAATATATATATATATATGTATATATATATATGTAATCAATACAGAATTTCGTATAGTGTTCGGAAACGTAACAGTGGAGATTGATCTTCAAAACCAGCGTCGGATCCACTTATTAAGTGCACCTTGAAAGCGACAGAAAATCACTCGCAACTGCAGAAACAGTTTGGGATTAAGCAACTCTAGAGCAATCAAAAACGAGACTATGGACAGGCTTCACGCGGTTGGATAACGTCCAATATGTTTTAAGGGTAACAGAAATTTTCTATAAACACTGCTTCTCTTTCGTACTTACATTCGACAATTTGGAAAAGCGCACCCGAATGCTTAGAAATGAGTCTAGACCATGAGATACACATACACATACACATACACATACACACACACACACACACACACACACACACACACAAAACACAGAGAAAGCTTGAGTCGAGTCAGCTATTCGGTAAATAGGGAAGGTGGCAGGTTTCTCAGGGACGTGTAAATGGTTAAATCTAACGAGCGGCCTTCTTACCGTATCTGTTTGTTCACTGAAGTCGTTCGCAATATCGTACTTCCTTTCTTAATTCTGTGATAGTCTGAAATAGCCGAGCTAAGGCATTCCAGCATGGTTTGGGAGAGAGCGTTGGGTAGAAGGTCGAACCAGCGTCTTTGCTTCTTATCAACGGGATCACTAACCACTGTGCTCCTGTGCTGTGCATCCCTGGCTCCTTATGGTATATGCATGTTCATATATAAGGCATCGGATAACACAGTGGCACTTATGTCGGTTTTCAGGAGCACAGTGTTGTTTCGATCCCGCTCTGGGTCTACCAAGGTTTCCATCTCTCTGGGGTCGGGAAATTGCTGCTGGACTCGTCCGGCAATAAAATCGTTCCCTGCAATCCAATTGGGAATTCTCCAGCAGGACTCCAGCGATAATCGACCCGACCAGCATTCTACAACCTTTGAGGTCGATGTGAAAATCTTCAAGCAGGAGCCGAAGCCACACGTAAAAGCTGGAAGATGATGCGAGAAAGCGAATCAAATGTGAGAAGTGCTGCGATCCGCGTAGTAGATCTGAAGACGGATGATATAAAATAAAAAAAAACTTTTCCAGTTCTGTAATACGAGTACCACGGTATCACCCTCTCATTAATGCATTCCACAACAATAACAACCTCTTTTCTCTTTTACCTTAGAGTTGTTACGTCCAGATCTGTGAGTCATATCTGAAACAAAAAAGAGTCGTGGACGTAATAAAAGAGGCAGCATTTGGGCATATTTGTGCCGTTAAGCTTTATTAGAGTTTCAGTAGCAATGACGTTTCTTATAAACATCGTTCCTTAGTATATAATGCTGAGATATTTTCAAAACTCCGGACCGCAGGTGTATGCGGTGGGGAACGAACCCTCGCTGTTGTCCTTACCGAGGAGCAGCGCACTTCACCACCACACCATCCGGGTCCTTCGTTTTGCTTGTCTCTCAGCTAGTTCTATCGATCTTTTTGCCATCAGCAATCACCCGTCAACGGGATTAATCTGGGGAGCCCAAGTCAGCATTGAACCCAGTTAAGCTGAGGCTTAGTTATAGTCACAATCGTAACCCTTTTATTTACTGCCTTTTTCTTTTTAATGGCAGGGTATTTTGCGAAATATAACTCGTATATAATGCTGAGATATTTGGGAGACTCTGCAAAACTCAAAACTCGAGTTTTACAAATATCTCAGCATTATATACGAGTTATATTTCGCAAAATACCCTGTCATTAAAAAGAAAAAGGCAGTAAATAAAAGGGTTAAGATCGTTCCATAGGTTTAACCGTCGGTTAAGCTGACCACATGTGCCGTTGAAATCGATCAGCATTCCCTTTATCACGCTAGTGACTGATATTATAGGAATAGTCTCATTAGTAAACGGAATCCGATGTAGTTGCCGACCATCTACTTCGACTTCGATATTGTCTCATTACATTTTTCGAAAGTCGTTCTTGAAAGTGGCGTTAAAAAACACCTCACAAGTGGTGTCATTGGTCCCAGCCTTTTAGATCGCTGATCATTTTGTTGTAGGGCTGCAACGTTTTAGTTCTAAAGTTGCTACATAGTACACAGCAGTGGTGCCTTCGGTTTTTAGGGACATCCATGAGTTGTTCTACTTTTTTTACGTTAGTAGAAGTGGAGCAATACGACATTTTGTAACATGATAATGCTTCAGTGAGATGTCATTATGTATTATGTTATCCGATCTACTGTGCGCTTATATAATATAAACTTTGGGTATTCGCTACTAGGTTTTTATGCATTTCCAAGTGAAGCGCGAAAAGCTGGGCTGGTGTGCTGTAAATACTGCCTATTGGTTGCGGAACTGTCCTACGATGTCGATTTTATTTTTAATTGCCTACGCAATATTACATTCTATTCCATGTCGCGAATCCATAGGGGTGCACTAATGAAACGGCTGCGAAAAGCTTAGTCGTCATAAGGGAGTGCTCATCATGTTCCATATTCATACTAAGAAAAGGTATAAATGAACAGGCAGGAAAGGCAACTGAAGGCGAAGAATAGAGTAAACTATGTATATAAAGGGCATACCATAATCGGTCTTCTTTCTGTTTACCCCTTATACGGCGATCAACTAAACTTGGTGTATTTCTCCTTCTCTCGAAATAAAATCATACGTATGAAGAAAACTAAGTTTGTATTAGAAGAGGCATTCTCAGTGTTTATCATGGATGTGTTGTTTCTGACCTGATTTTAGTGACGCATTATTACTTTAATATGTTTAAAATATAAACTACCAAAGGTGGAACGAAGTGTGCCATTTTAAAATTAAGTACGGTGCTTCTAAGCCACAAATCATAATCACAAAAAAGATTCCTGGGATCTTCTGCTCAAATCGGGAATTCAATTTTGAACCTTATAGAATATTTCAAGATTTTAACTTTTAAGGAACGTCGTCGTATTATTGCTGATCTAGAGGAGAGGCAACGGCAGTTGGAGCAAGAACAAGAGGCACAGCGGCAAGTAGCCGAAACTATTGCTAAAATGGAAAGTAAGCTACTAGGTGGCACTGATCTCCTGGATCACACGCGACAACAGGAGGCCGAACTGGAACATCGTCGGCGTGAATTGGCTGAGCAAAAGGTGGTTTTGTCTTCCGTCTTTACTCTTTATACAACTTCTTTATTTTTTATAATATTTAGTGTTGTAGCAGGTAGCACAGTGCTAGTGATACCGTTCGTCACCACCTCTGTCATGCTTTGAACCCGTTCCGGACTAAACGAGGGTCTCCTCATTTCGGTGTCGCTAATTGGCACCATACTTGTCTGGAAAAAGTTGACTTTATGCAATCTAAGTGGAAATGCTCTAGCCCGGCTATCTCAGGATTCCAGGGAGAGTCGATTGGACTAGTGTTGAACGATAGCCAACACTTGGAAAGTTCGAAGACCTTCACGGATGACAGATGCGAGGAAACGAATCGAACGCAAGAAGTGCTAACATGTACATAAATTTGAACACGGGTCGTGCAAAAAAGTTATTGTTTTGAATTGTAATATAAATTTGTCGCGACAGTGTTAAATCTTAGTGTATTGTGGACGATGTGCTAAACGAGCCTTTCGCAATCAATATCGGCTTTACCTACGCACAATAGTATTTTCTCATTGAGTTATAACAGATGCACACATGTTTATGTTGGAATGCTTGTCACTTCTTCTCTTCGCATTCATATCAAGTCCACATCTGAAAGATAGTCAAATCATCCGATTTGAAAGAGTAGCTCTTATGACTAGCAACAACGTCCCTTAGTAATGTTCTTGGTAGAATTATATTTCATTTGGTCGTTATTTTATCGGATAATGTAGAATAGAAGGCAGTCAATCTAAGTGAAGAGCAATGATAAGAGGTTTTTCGACACTGTGGACGACTTCTAGCCATCCTCGCCATAATGATTCCATTTCAGAAACGCGAACGAGAGATTCTTCAACAGCTGGAGAGGCAGGAGGATGACACTGCAGAGATTCATCAAACATACTCCAGCTTACAGCAAGAAGTTGAGGCAAAAACTCGTAAGCTAAGGAAACTGCACATAAAATTGCAGAAGGCCAGTTGTCGGCTTTAGAGTGTTCTTTTCAAAATTATCTATACTGTATTTAACAGTAGTCTTCCCGTGGAACTTTTCTCTGTGAAAATTTCGAAGCTATATAGGGCATGTTTTATTGTAAAACGCAGGAAGTTTTCACCAATTGACGAATACATACTTACTTACTTGGATACTTGTACGGCCCGTCCTCACTGGTTGTGCGGGCTCCAGCATGACTTCCACTTTCTCGAGTTTTGCTGGCTTAGCCGTTGTGGTTCCCTTGAATCCCTTCGACAGCCTGGCTAATGTGTGCCCCAGACGAATATATAGTAGTTCAAATTAAGGAGATCTGCATTGGTACGAAAGGTGCTGATTAGCACTTTAAACGAGCATAAGATATAAATTAGTGTTGTATAAAAATTGTTGTTCAAAGAGGAATAAAATTTTTTGGACCGCAGGTGTCAATGGTAGGGACGAACGCGCTATTGTCCTTTCCGGGGAGTAACGCGTTCACCACCACACCATCCGGGTCCTTCGTTTTGCTTGTCTCTCAGCTAGTTCTATCGATCTTTTTGCCATCAGCAATCACCCGTCAACGGGATTGATCTGGGGAGCCTAAATCGGCATTGAACCCAGTTAAGCTTTGGCTGTAGTTGAAATCATGGCAGGTTACTAAGCGAAATACAACCACAACGTTGCTGAGATATTTGCAAAACTCTGGACCGCAACATTGTGATTTCAACTACAGCCACAGCTTAACTGGGTTCTATGCCGATTTGGGCTCCCCAGATCAACCCCGCTGACGGGTGATTGCTGTGGCAAAAAGATCGATAGAAATAGCTGAGAGACAGGCGAAACGAAGAACCCGCATGGTGCGGTGGTGAACGCGTTACTCCCCGGAAAGGAGAATAGCGCGTTCGTCCCTACCATTGACACCTGCGGTCCAGAGTTTTGCAAATATCTCAGCAACGTTGTGGTTGTATTTCGCTTAGTAACCTGCCATGAAAATTATAGAAGGCAGAAAACAAAACGCTAAACGTTAAAATTTTTTCTTGAAAAAATGAAAGTTACGGTCAACATAAAAGTAGCTGCAAATTGTGGACGAAAACCTCTTATGACACGGTATTAAAGATCTCCTCTGAGGTTAAATTCAAATACTTCGAAATACTACCAGCTCTCGGTTCCAGTTTTTTCTATGATAGTTACATCACCAAGTTGCTCAAACATCTGTTCTTCTTAGGCCAGAAATGAGCTTCATGACGCAAGCCTCCTTCACTCGCAAGAGCGACAAGATCTCGAAAGTTCCGTGACGGAGATCAACAAAGAATTGAAATTGAAGTCAGTAATCTCCTATCATTTTGTCATCTATTGCTATCTTTCAGAATTTTCGCCACGTTAACGCAATAGTTTTGTGCTAGAACGATGAATTATTGCCTCACTATGATGTAGCTGCCTTTCGCTGGCCATGCATTCATTGAAAAGTCAGAGCTCAAATGCATGTGTAAATCTTCAGATATACTTTATGATTGTAAGACTCATGCCATATCTATCACTGAACAACAGTTTTCTTAGGAATCTTCTACAACTTATGCTATTTTTGTTATTAAAATTTTTAGTCTCATAGCTTTCACATTCACCTATTTGTTCCCAAGACATTGTGGCGTATCCTCAGGTGACGACTTGGAGATTAGTTATGGACCAAACGCGACGTGGTGGTTGTCCTAAAACGCATTTGAGTTCATGGGATGAACTATCCATTTTTTTTCGTGCTAGATATGCACGTAATTAATGTTCCTACTGTATGTACATAAATCTGTTCATATATGCACGCATGCGTGGGTGCGCTTATGCATATGTGGATTATATCCTAATATTCGCCCAAAGTTGGTTGTCAAGTGATTGACAAGCGCATGAATAGTCGCATCCAACAAATAAATTTCGCTTCTTTTTTGGGCAATCCTGAAAAACTAACTACACCCAGCTCTCACTCCAGAGCTTTTCGGCTTTCTTCGGGTGTAAATCGCAAAAAATGAAAGGCCTCATTCCTCTGACTCCGATACCGCCAACGATATCGCAGCTCTGGGCATGACTTGGACGGCGAAAATGATAAATTCTTAAAGCTAGAGTTTCTGAATTTGGAAGGACAAATATAACGATCAGTACATCTGACACACGCACACAAGAGTTTGAATTCCCTATTAGGGTACTGTGAGTAGTGCAAAGTATTTTTGACGTGGTTGAAGTATCAGTCCACGCTTCTACTGCGTAGCATAGTGCTAGGAGGACTGCTGGATCGAAAAGGTGAGCGCGGAGTTTTGGGTTCGTTAGTTGGTCGGTGGCTTCCTTAAGTGGTCGGAATGCGGCTCATGCTGCCTTCTTTCTTCTATCTAATTCCTCCTTTATGTTGTTTTCTGTATTTTTTTGAACGCCAAGGTATACGTGCGAGGTGGTCTTTGCAATCGGAGATCCATCCAGTCTGATCTGTTCGCCTTCACACCATGGGGTCTTCATAAACTGGGTCTTCTTACGATTTTCACAAGGTCCGATCGTTTTTCCCGCTTCTTAGAGCTCATTGATCATCGTCTGTGTTTTGCTGGTACTTCTTGAGAACATGAAGGTATGACCGATGGAACGAAGATCTGATACGAATTTGCCTTCGATATGTATGCCCTTCTCGTCCCAATCGAGTGACTACATCACCCACTGCAGCGCAACAGTAAACAGTTTTGGCGATATTCTCTTGGCTTCTTGAAGTCCCCTTCCTATCGATATAGTAGGAAGTCAGCGGAGAAGCTGTGGATTTGTGCTGCAGTTCCAACAACAGTCAACTAGTGTTCGTATATAGGGCGGGTTCATTTCTTGGTCTACGAGCGCTGATAGGACTACATTCGTTTCGACACTGTCAAACGCTTTCTCTTAGTCGGTAGTGGTAAGGACAGTGGGCAGAGTGGACACCTGACAAACTACTATGACTAAATGCATGCGTCGTTTCCTTGTTCAGCAATCGCGAGGTTGTTAAACAGCATACATTTAGTTCCATAGAGAAACACAATACAATACAACAGTAGCTACTGTTTATCTATGGAAGTAAATGTATGCTGTTTAACAACCTCGCGATTGCTGAACAAGAAAACGATGCATTCATATTCCAATGACGAGGTTAAGAGAATGTCAATCCTGGGAACTAAATGCATGGTTTTGATGTGGTGTATGCACACGAATACTTGTCGAGGTCCTGCCTCTTCAATTGTCTGTACCTCATCCAGTGTCCTTGATATGCACGATTCGCTCTTTATGAAAAGCCTATAGAGACCACTTAACAAGCCTAACGGTTGACAATTACAAAGGTCCCTTCGGTCACGTTTCTTGGAAAACCAAGACACGAGATCGAACCAACGACTACGTGTATAAGGCACCTCTTAGCATTGCTTTACGCACGCTCTTTTGTTAATACTAGTGAGCAATAATAGGATAATAATATGACAAAGTAACAGTAAAATCATGATTAGTAGTGTTAAATGTGTTGTGTTGTGTAAATGTGTTAGTAACTCCCACGACCGACTTTCTATTAACCTCGGCATTGATCAAGTAATTGTGTCCGTGTCCGCATAAAAGAACACCTGTGTCCGCATAAAAGAACACCTAGCCGGCAAACATAGACCAAATACTCCGCTAGGCACGCATAGGACCCAGAGACATAACGGGGAGGACTTTGACGCGTAGTTGAAATACCACCGAGTAATCTTAAGCGCCAGCTAGTTCGAAACCGCCTATATGACCGTCTATGTGCAACTCAAAACTGCATAATTTGCCCCAGTGGGAGAGACGGTGATTGCATGAGCTCGGGTATAGTTTATCTGATCTCCTGTAAGACGTGCGGTGACGAATACATTGGCGAAACGGGCAGACCCCTCTGTGTCCGCATAAAAGAACACCTAGCCGGCAAACATAGACCAAATACTCCGCTAGGCACGCATAGGACCCAGAGACATAACGGGGAGGACTTTGAAGTATGTGTCACGACCCTTGCACGCGAATCAAGAACACAGGCGCGAAAAACTCTCGAGGCACTCTGGATTAATTCCAGAAATCCGAAAATGAACCGCAGGGAAGAATGCCTTATTATCACGCGTGATGTAGGGCAGTATATAAGACTGCTATTCTGATGCGTGGGGTACATTATACTTCCATGTGATTTCTGTGCGGTTGGTCTCTACGTGACATACTTAGTGGAGACCTCATAGAAAGCGGTGAGTGTGCAAAGCTGTGTTCAATGTGATTGAAATCTTGGTTTAGAGTTTCTTTGTTTGGTTATGGAGGCGTCTGGCCAAGTAGATTGCTGTCAACTTGACCTTTCCAGGCTCTGAGGAAGGCGAAATCCGCCGAAACGTCAGCTCATTTGTGAATAAAGAATAATAACACCTCGCGTTTGCTCAACAAAAATACGAAGAATTACTTGATCAATGCCGAGGTTAANCATAACGGGGAGGACTTTGACGCGTAGTTGAAATACCACCGAGTAATCTTAAGCGCCAGCTAGTTCGAAACCGCCTATATGACCGTCTATGTGCAACTCAAAACTGCATAATTTGCCCCAGTGGGAGAGACGGTGATTGCATGAGCTCGGGTATAGTTTATCTGATCTCCTGTAAGACGTGCGGTGACGAATACATTGGCGAAACGGGCAGACCCCTCTGTGTCCGCATAAAAGAACACCTAGCCGGCAAACATAGACCAAATACTCCGCTAGGCACGCATAGGACCCAGAGACATAACGGGGAGGACTTTGAAGTATGTGTCACGACCCTTGCACGCGAATCAAGAACACAGGCGCGAAAAACTCTCGAGGCACTCTGGATTAATTCCAGAAATCCGAAAATGAACCGCAGGGAAGAATGCCTTATTATCACGCGTGATGTAGGGCAGTATATAAGACTGCTATTCTGATGCGTGGGGTACATTATACTTCCATGTGATTTCTGTGCGGTTGGTCTCTACGTGACATACTTAGTGGAGACCTCATAGAAAGCGGTGAGTGTGCAAAGCTGTGTTCAATGTGATTGAAATCTTGGTTTAGAGTTTCTTTGTTTGGTTATGGAGGCGTCTGGCCAAGTAGATTGCTGTCAACTTGACCTTTCCAGGCTCTGAGGAAGGCGAAATCCGCCGAAACGTCAGCTCATTTGTGAATAAAGAATAATAACACCTCGCGTTTGCTCAACAAAAATACGAAGAATTAAATGTGTTAGTGTTTAAGCGTCTCCAGGTGCTTTACCATGAACCGACGACTGTCTGTGACAAGGTATCTGAAAATATTTAGCATACTGTTCCGGGATTTGGGTAGAGAATTTCTCACTCATTCAACATTCAGCGTCGTAATGAAGTGGAAACTGGGCAGTGCCTCAAAGCGCAATTTAATTCATATACGAACCTGACCACCTCTTTGTGTGGAGGTTTCAAGACAACCACTCGGTTTAAAGAATTGCTGTTATCAACATGATGTGTGACGAGAGGTCATCTAAATGTTTAATTTCGATATTAATCATGGTGGTAATGATATTAATTGAAGAGGAGATGAAGGACAGTTTCAGTCGTGGTTTTGTAGTATTGCAGTAGTAGAATAGAGCAGAGGGAGATTGGCCATCATGCAATTTTGATACCAGGACGGTTATGAATCCTGTTATTGGATTGATTTAGTGTTTTTATGGCTTGAAGGAGAGTTTAGTATAGAGATTACTGAACAAGAAAACGACACATTCATATTCCATTGCCGAGGTTAAGAGAAAGTCGATCCTGAGTTTAGTATAATTCTATTGACAAGGTTATAGCGGACTAACTTGCTCTAGTCGACTCTGCTGTCGACGAGGTTATAGGAATATTCCTTACCTCGTAATTCAAAGAGGAAATTCGAAGTTCCAGCTTAAATCAATGTCAAAGACATTGCCATATACTCTAAGAGATCGAAAATCAACTGGGCGGGACATGCGCCCTAACGACAGCCTCTAGGGAATTCATTAGCTCACGCAGGGTGTCATGCGCACAGCATGAAGTTCAACGACCAAATCCTCAGCCATTCAAGCATCCTGGAAGGCTTACTCGAAGTTCTTGCCTTTGAGTTTAAAAAATTTATTTCGAAAGAGCTCTAAGATGCAGTGATCGCGTGTGCTCGACAGGACTCCCACTCCCCCCCCCCCCCCCCCCCCCCAGATAATTCCCGTTGATGGGTAGTTACTGATAGCACCAATAGAGTAAAGCCATGCCTAAGGGAAAGCCAAAGAAAAGCAAGGACCTCTGTTGGGATAGTGAATGGGACGTGACCCCGATAAGGATGACCGTGGGTTCGAAGCCCAGCTGAGGCTCCAGGTTTTGCTCATATCTCAGCATCCTTGTGGTTGTATTTTA